GTCGTGTGGCTCGTTCTCTCGATCATATATATATATATATATATATATATATATATATATATATATATATATATATATATATTTATATAAACGTAAAAAAGGAAAACCCTTTCTTTCAAACGAAACTATCTCGACGTTTCTTATACTTATTAAACACGTATTATCATGTGCGCGTTAAGCTAGCTCGGAACGCGGAGCAGCGACCATTCGTCTCTTAAAACGGATAGACAAAATGATAGTCATATGGAACGATCGTCGATCGTATAGGACAGAGAACGTAAATCACCCAGAACCACGCTCCCTTTAGGGTAGAACATCGACCCCTCGCACACGAGAGTCTCTCCAAAAAATCACAGTCGCGTATATAATATAATTTTCTTTCGTATTTCTCATTTTCACAACTCGTTACTCGTTACTTCCATCACGGCACGGCCGGCGTTTCGTTTCCTAGTTTCCTATCTCTGCACCTCTTCTTCTGTGGACGCTTCCGCGACCGATTCTGTCTTTCTGTTAGTCTTTTTACCTCTCTCGGCGGACCTGATAACATGATTCGCAATCATAACCTCGAGGATACCGGAAACCAACGATATCTATACACCGTTTCTTTTTTTCCTTTTTTTTTTTCTTTCGCAGCACCTCGAGCACACGTTTGTTGTACGATTGTGAAAAAAAAATGCTCTTAGACACGATCGTAAGCTACGCGCGATGAAAAGAACAGTCACGTATTCGTTCCGTTGATATGCGAACTGTCTCTAAAACAAATGGTTAAATTGCATTTTACTTGTCGTGAGGATAAAAAGGAATGTCGAAAGGAAAACACGCGAATCTTTTTCAGCCTAACGACCAGTAAAAAGCCCTCACAAATTCGATTACCCATTTCAGAGATAGCCTAGTATAGGAATGGTGCAACGCAACGAAGCGCACCTCTCTCGATTGTTTGCGAATCAGAAAAACAGGCGAGCGATCGAGTTCTTTATCAAGACGCGGAAAGTCGCGCACCGCCGTCCTCTCCGTCGTGGTTCCTTTCTCTTTCTCTCTTCCTCTCATTCCCCCTTTCATATCCACATCCTTTCTCTCTCTTTCTCTCTCGTTCTTCCATTCTCCTCTCGCTCCCTTTCTTACGTCCTTTCTTTCCCTCTACTCTCTCTGCTACATGGAATGTAAAAGAAAAACAGGATACAATTTGCGCCTCGGCATTTTGCATGTTTCTTTTTTGGATTCGGAATAAACCGTCTCACTGTTTCGTTTTTTCGTACATCTTTTTCTTTTTCTCTCTCTCTCTCTCTCTCTTTTTTTTTCTTTTTGGAAACTTTTGGCTGTTCTTTTTAATGACGAACTTATCAAGACTTCGACTTTGGTAGATCGATGACGGCAGTCGTCACCGCGAGAACTGTTAAGGCAAAGCTATAGGGTTTCTTTTTTTCGTAGGAGGAGAAATTTTCGTGATTGGAAGACACCGTGTTTCGTCTGCGAGAATTTCGTTCTGCTTCGAAATCGAAACGATCCACCGCGAGGATAAAACAATGTACGAAGAATTTCCATTCGTGTACACGACTGTCTGTGTTTGGTGTATGTATGGATGTATGTATCGCAAAGAGATCAAGGTTTAGGCTCCAGTCTACGTAACGAGCGGCTCGCCGAAACGATTTTTTTCCCTACCCCTATTTTCATTTCTTTGTTGTTTCGTTAGTTTTCTTCCCATCTTCTTCTTCTTCTTCTTCTTCTTTTTTTCTTTTTTTAAAGCTAGATAGACGTTTCTCTTCCTTATACGCTAAGTTTGGCAATATCGTTTGCAACAGTAAAAAAATTATATATGTATATATATTTATTTTTATATCCAGACGTGGAGCAGACACATTGGTTTCTCTCGATATGTAAAATCGTAAAAAAGATAATCAATTTAATAAAAAGTCTCTTAGTTTATAATCGTTTCACGTCAATTCCCTATTTGCCCTTTTGCATCTCTTCTTCTCACGCCAATTTTGTTTCCCCCTTCTACTTTCTTTCGTCGTTACTTATTATTCGCTTCTTTCCTATTTTAAATTGTTTTGTTTAGTTTTTGTTTATGTGTTTGTTCCGCCGAAATACGTTTACCCCGTCCCAGGCGGTTCCTTCCTTTGCGAAGATACGACCCCTCAGCCTAGATTTCGATTCGAATCTCGCTGCGACCATTGTCAATAATCTTCTCTGTTTGCTATCGTGTCTGTACGTAAAGCTTTGCGTAAACGAGGCGTTCACGAGGGAAAAAGTGTGTTAGTTCAGAATGAAATTGCTATAAAATATACCTCGACCATCACAAAAGAACGGTCACACAGTGTGCTTCCGCTGGCAAAAGTATTTGGAATGCATGGCACTAGCACAGCTACGTTTCAACCACATGACGTAACTTCGTATTATATTATTAGAGCGCCCGACCGTCCGCTTAATCTTTCGTGTAAAATCTTACTAAATATCACGTTCGTGCACAAAATCCCCGATAAAGGAGAAACTATGGAAATTTGCGAGACTGGCCGACAAGGAAGTGTGCGAGAAAATCAAAGATCTTCGTGTCGTCGAAGGATCCTGAAACATTTCTGATACATTTGATATTATTTCAGTCGTTTCAAGATCAAAATGTTCGTGTAATAGGGGGATGTCTCTGTACACACACACAAAAAAAAAAAAAAAAAAAAAAAAGGAAAAAGTAGTCTCTGAAGTGCGTAATCCTTGCACAATCAGGCGTTTGAAATATCCCCAGTTCAATTTCCTCAACAAATTTATCTATCTATTCATGTACAATTTGTTTGATTTTATCGCGGAACAGCTTGCGAAAGCAGGGTTATATCAGTAGCCTTCTTTCGAAATTTCATTCTTGACTTTTACGCGATCACCGTATTCGTTTTTTCAATGGGCATCGGAATAACGTGCGAATAAAGATGAGCAACGTTCTTGACACAATTTTCTTTTTTCCATTCGATCATCGACAATTGTCTTTTTGAAACAATGCGAGGCCAGGAAGACGAATCTCTTCGACAAATACTCGCGCGAAACGAGCTTTCGACATCCTCGTACCCTTTATAATTCAAAGGAAGGAACGAATGATCTAAAACACGTGCCTGGACACCACGTACATAGCATCGTTTCAACGTTAATGGCAGTGCTGAAAGCTCTCGTCCGATATTCCGCTGGAGAATCACAAAAATACAAATTAATGATACGGTGATCGCATAAAATTATTTCCAATAGTGCGCAGGATTACGTTTCCAGATCATTGTGTAATGTGTTTTTGGAACTGAATAGTCGATTAGTTTTCTTTTTTTTTTTTTTTTATCAATTTTTTTTACTCGAACGTTCAGGCCGGACGAGGACTTCGGTACAACTCAGTAACTTATGCCAGCAAAATATTAATTTTAATGAATCAACAGCAACAGACACACATACGGTCAAAAAGTAACATACGCGTCGTCGTCGTCGTCGTCATCATCATCATCATCATCATCCTACTACAACTGATCAATTAGATTCTCGCGCAGCACGATCGGACCAGAGATCATCAATATTTCGAACTTTTCCGATCATTTTTTTTATTTTTTTTTTTTTAGAGAATCATTCAACATTCGTGATGCTACTCACATGCATTCACTCTTACCTTTTTTACCTCTTCCTCTTTCTCGCTCTCTCTTTCTCTTCCTTTCTTATGTAGTTTTCATACCCACTCGTGCATCACTTCGCTGCATCAAAATTGCAATCAACATTCTGAGACCATTTATTTCGACCATTAACTACTAAATCACGCTGTCACAACAACAGTCATTCGATGATGCTTCAATTGCTTCAAACGAGTGATGGTGTGATAGTTTAGTAAGGAATTGGAAACAGGTCGCGGGCTTCGTTGGCAAAGCTATAGGAGGACAAAAAAGCTAGGAGCTTTACAACGAGTTGCGCATTGATTCAACTTTCTCGACAAGTGTGTAATATCGCTCATTCAATAGTGACATGTTTTATTTTATACACACAGACTCTCTGCGATTTTACACGCATACATATTAATAAAATCATTCTTACTAATTCAATTAATAGAGCACATACTTCCTTTCATAGCTCTACAGTCTCGCTCTCTCTCGTTTGGTTTCCCTGCATTTTCTTCAACGTTCACTTCATTCATCCTTTCGTACTTACTCAATCTTTCAATCTCTCTTTCTCTCTCTCTCTCTCTCGCTCTCACTCTCTCACTCTCTCACTGGCCACGAACACCGTCCATCGAAGTCGTCCTTTCCTCAGGTTCAACTTCTCAATCACGCAGGTAGAAGCCTCGTTATCAGGCATACTTGCATCACCGGAACATCTCGGCAAACTTCGGCCTTGGCTCATTCATCGGCAACATCCACTTGCATTCCTCATCATCCGTAGTCGGCAGACATCCGGCAGACAGGTATTTATTTTCTCGACCATTTGGGGTTGCGCTCGGACGTGTCGGTACTCGAATACCGTCGCCAGAGCAGGGACACGTGCAGACTCATCACCCCATCATCGTCATCGTTTCGAAACTCACGCACATCCATCAACTCGCATCCGCACCATCCAATCTTGTTGTCTTTGTATTGTGTTCGATAGCTCTCTAGTCAAATCAAATTGCACGACAGTACAACCGTGGGGTGATCTGTAAACAACAAAAGTGAGCCAAATATCAATAACCGTCGCTCACCGCTCGGTATGTATATTTTTTAACGTATTTTTTAACGTAAATTCTTAATTCTGTTTTCTTTTTATTTCGTTCTCTATCCGTTCCTGCTTCGCTACATCTTTAAAGGGATCTCTCTCTCTCTCTCTCTCTCTCTCTCTCTCTCTCTCTCTCTCTCTCTGTCTCTCTCTTTATCTTTGTCGAATGCACGTGTCTATACACGGGACGGGATTACGAGACAAAGGGAAACGAACAATTCTGTATTGTACAGAATAATTCCGAGACGGAGAACAAATTATAACTCTTTTTTCTTTAAACGAAGATAAGACGAAGACAGTAGTGATTAACAACCTTCAAATTTGTTCGTTTTAAGAGAAAGAACTATAATTTGGTCCGTTTTCTAGAATCAGCCTGTTCCTGATTCTTCATCACCATACCGTCCCCTCTATTGTATTTTCGGTTCTTCGATACTGCCATGCATTCGCGTTTCTTGTTTCTTTTGTCATACTTCCTAACTGTACGACATTAAAAATCGTTCGTCGAGAAATTGATTTTAGTGACAAAGTTACATAGAAAAGTAGCGTACAATGAAGAGAAATGCAGTAAAGAATGAGATGGGGAAAACAATAAATAAACGGAAAGTTAATACGGATAAGAAGTGATCAAATATACACGCACCACACATGATCCACACGAAAATGATCGATAATAAAAAGAATTAATTTAAAAATAGAAAAAAATATATATATGTATAAAAAGGAAAGGATTAATGAAGCAATGAAAAATTACTCACCAACTGGACGTAGAGTTAGCAACATTCTTGAGCTTCCGGATCTCTTTGGATGCCCAGTTGGCCAGGGTCTTTGTTTTGTCAGTGCGTGATCGTCTAGCCTTGGTTAAGAGTTCCGTAAGCGGGTCCGTTTCTACCATTGGCAAGAGTTTTACTCCGAACACGGTGACAAGATCACCAAGCAAGCCCACCGAGGCTGAGATGTTGCCTTCAGAATGTTCACGATCTTGGGCTATAGACGTGATAAACTGGATGATGAAGGGCACGTGCGGCTCCACCAGAGCAATTGCCGCATCTGGACAAGGATTCGATCCGTCACCGCGTAATCCTTGTACTATACCAGTGTAAGCCTCAAGAACACCTTCTCGTAATTCGTTCAGATAATCAATCATATCATAATCGCTTCTGTCGACATTCGCTTGGGAAGCCTGTGCCAACGTTTGAAGTACTACGTCCAAATATTTCTTGAATTCTGGACCGATACTGAGAGCAACATCACCGAATACGGAGAAGATCTGAGGCTTCACGGAACGATTAACCGAATTATTGCCAAGATTTTCCAGCAAAAGTGTCATGATCTCGTCGCAATAGGGCAACATCTTGTTTTTCAGGGCACGACAAATGTCTCCGGTCAGACCCACAGCAGCGCAACAAACTTGATACTCTGCGTGATTCTTTAAGCCAAGACAAAGATACGGTTTGAACGCATCCATATACTTCAAGAAACCTTCTCCGAGCACTTCGACTAGAGTCGAAACAGCCATAAGAGCATCCTCCTGCACACCTTCAGCTTTGCAAGAATTCGAGTTGAACATGGACAATAATGCTGTCATTATTACGTCAGAAATGTGCGGGGCATCCTCCGGTGTAACTTTGCGTAGCACAGATTGCAAGGTAGCGCATAACAACGATTGCAAATCGTTATATTGAGCACGATCAGAGTGGCTCTGGATATGTGTCTCCATTTGCAGAACCTGCTGCAATCTCTCCAGAATCACCATTGTCGTCTTCTGCACGGTTAAGTAACAATCGCGCGGAGAGTTCTTCACCATATCCATCAGTGCCTCATAAGCAGCTGATCTCAAGTTAGCTTGAGCTCCGTCCGGACGATCCGTTGTTTCCAACAATCTCTGGATAATAAAATCAAAGTACTGAGACATGCAATATGTCTCTGGATTTTGTCCCTCGATAGTTTCTGCAGCCTCGTAGCTAGCTTCTGCAAGACCTGTGAATGCCCAACAAACATTCGCTGCAACGCGAGGTTCTGCCTTCAAACCGTTTATCAAAGCCTCTAACAGTGGCTTCAAATACGTCTCACTAATCGCCGCTTCTGGTATAATTTCACAAATTCGACCGAATGTCCATGCAGCTGTGTCCCTTACCGCGACACTGCTATCGTACATTAGTTCGATAAGCGTTGGCATTGCCTGTTCTACCAAAGGTTTCAGAGTAGCGTGATCAACACCACCAAGAATAGAACCGAAAGCCATTAAAGCTGCGTCCCGATACCTCCAATCGTGGCTCTTAATGTTGTCTTTAACGAAAGGAAGAACGAATGGAACGATAGCATCCTCGCAACAAGAGGATAGTAACATTAAACACACTCCAGCAGCTTTCGAAGGATTCCAATCGTCTTCGTCATCAAATTCCTCTTGTTTAGTAAGCTTTTTCATTAAAACAGGTACCAGATATTGCAAAGCGCCTTTTGCATAATGTCTCGATACTTTGACTGGCGGTCGACCACCGTCGGTAGCTTCACCCTCTTCCATGGCTAAATCTACCTCTTCGTCAGATACATTCGACCAAAACTCAATTCCTTGCAGTGCTACTTCATCAATATCTGACTTCATAGCTTCTAGAGTAATTGGAAAGAGTGCTGGAGCCATGTATGGCTCCATATATTGATAATACAATGACATAATTTTCACAAGACACTGTAAAGCAGCTACTTTAACTTGTGTGTTTAAGGATTGCGTTGCCTCGCATACCACCTCCATAATGAAGTTTCTCTCTGTCTGTGTACACAAGCAAAAAAATTAGACCATACGTTCTTACCAAAAAAAAAATCTCTATATGTATATTCCTGAATTATACAAACCTCTATTTCGAAATTTCCTTTGGTAAATTCTAACGAATTATAGAGTGCACTTGTAGCTGCTAGACGGACATAATGCGAAGTACTAGATACTTTCATACCATGAATAATAGCAGTGAGAATTTCATTAGACTGAGATACCAAAACATCGCTATCTATGTCTTGACAAATGTAACCAATAGCTTCTAAAGTTGCTTCTTTTAATATTTCTGTGCTGTTTGGATTTACAACATTATTAACTAATAGTTGAATGACATTGGTCCATTCACGAACAGGTAATTCAGTAACTGCTACATATGCAACACACTGCGCTGCAGAACCTGGCCTATTGTTCTCTGTTCCGAGTGCTCCAAAAATCTAATAATAAATAAATATAATAGTATCGTGCATCCTTACATAACTTATCAAATATTTATCAAATATTTGCAAAAAAAAAAAAAAAATAGAATTCCTTACATTCTTCTTAATATATTCCCTTGTTTCTACAGGAATAGCGAGCCAACGTTGTTGATATTGACATTTTAACTCTGGATCTTTGGATGTAAGTTGATTTTTAAGTTGAAGACCTGCTGCCATACGAGCAACTGGACTTGCGGTGGCATTAACCAGCACACCGCTGAGTCTTTGCAAAAATTCATGCTAAAAAAATAAAAGCAACGAATTTCTCATAATCTCTCTAATTATATACTCGTCGATTAAAGACATTTTGTTTCCAGAGAAAAATAACTTACAAGATTAGTTGCTGCTGCCTGCGCCAGAAAATTCTGAGCTGCTTCCAGTTCATTTTTGTCTGAAATAGCGTGTGCAGAAGATGAGGGTAATTAATCGATTTTTCTATGTATTATTTCGTTAATGTCAAACTAGCGAAAAATGTGTAGCAACGATAGAGGTTAGAAAACCGAGATGCACTGTTATTCGCCGTGCCAACCGACAACGGGGACGTGCAATACGAGTAACCGTCACATGGGACAATACTTTTCCGGTCGTGAACAAAGCCCCTAGCAACAGCCAAGCGGAACACAATACAACGTATTTTCATATAAACTAAAAATCTCGATTAAACGTTAACACGTCGATGCCGAAAGATTTTTAATGAACCAACGAAACTCTCAATTAACATCGATTCCAGATACTTCATGGATACACCGGAAGAAGCACAAAAAGGACGCGCACGCGGTATGACTTTACTTTTTCAGGCAAGGTCGCGAAAACGATAAGAAGCATTCGATAAAAACGAAGTACTATGTGATTCATAAAGTAACAGGAACAACAAGGTCAAGGGGAAGGAAATAATATAAGAAAAACTGATCGGGATTCCATGATGTCGCCAATAATCTGAAAGGCCGATTAATCAAAACGACTTACTTGAGGAGACAGTTCTCTCTAGAACCTGGATAAGGTGTACTGTCGTCGGATCCATTTGCATGATTTTATCTTCTTTCGTCTGTCGAGTATCGTGGAGAAACGTAATTTCTTATGCTCCGATAGAAAATGCCTCGTTGTTGCGACCGGCGGACAGCCACATGTAGCCACCACCGAATCAACTAGCTCAACGACGTACCCCCTTCTACTCACTTCCTGCCAGTACTCGATTTCTGCTTCCTTCCACAACGTGCGGCGTAGTAATATCCGCTGCCTTTGATATTCTCGCGCCTAGTACGTACAGACGAACCTTTTGATCGTTAATTCGAGGCTTTAATATGCTCAATCTGTGTTCTCTGTCAGCCACTCACTTCACTTGGACTCCCGTTGTACACCTCGTAAACTCGTAAACGTTGCAAAACTACTGTCACGAGTGTCACGTTTCTCGAAGTGATCGTCGTGTCTCTTCGAGCACGGACTATTTTCTTTCTGCGCTGTGTAAAATTTGTTCTGCACATGCGCAGGAAGAGATGAGCGCGCCATCTATACTGGCTGCTAGCGCTGCCGCGCGTGCGCGTTCAACGTGGCCGTTATGCCGGTTAATTTTGAAATGGTACACGTTGCAGCTGCAAACTATCACGCAAATTGCATTCGTGCTTCTCATGTTTGCCAAGATTGGCCGTGTCACAGTGTTTCATAATCCTAAAAAGTATTAAAAATCATCGAAAAAAATGAATTTCGTTATATAGTTTCCTATCGAAAGTAAAAAAATATATGTATAATGGTAAAAGAGAAAGCAATATATTACATATAGTATCTGGAAAAACAATAAAGAAATTGTCTTTTCTCAATCTGTTCTTTTATTAACGTTCCTTTTTTTATTTTATTCTATTTTCTCCCTGGAAAAAGTAGAAAACATAATAGTCAATCATAATACAAATAAAATTGAATACAGAGATCTTTGAAAACTTTACTTTTCAAGACTGGTATTAAGTGCCAGGTGTACTTTATGTAAAGTTACAGAACCCTCGACGACCCTCGGCAATTTTTCGAATACCTGTTTCGTTCTATGTAAAACTAGTAAAGGATTGCAGTGCTGCCATGAGTACGTCGGGATACTGAAAGAAGAAGCATCAGTTATTTTAATAGATTTAATGAAACGATATACAGAATACATTTGCTTTTGTAATGCATCGCAACGCATCGTCCGCGTGCCTTACCATCTATATCACATATCAATTTTTCTTTTATTTATAAAATATAATGGTCGCAATGTGTTTTTATTTTCTCACGTCATGCCTTTGAATTGCTTTCTCGTTCGCATATCGAAAGTATATATAATATATATATAATATATATATTTGTTTATTTATTTATTTATATTTATATTACTTCATTATATTTATATATTTATAAGTATGTATATAATTATATATTATTTTATTTTATATTATATTATATATAAATATATATATAATATATATATATAATTAACCAAGCGAGAGAGAGGGAATTATGTATGTGTATGTCTGTGTGTACATATGTGTAAGACTCGGCACAGAATTACAGCGAATCAGGCCGCGGAGAAAAGGTTTCGTGAATGTGCGCGCATGTAAAACTTGAATTAGAATACTTTACAAATTGTTAATAGAACGGTGTAAATGTTGCTAGATATCGACGGTCGTAGGGGTGAAAAGGCCGGTGGTCGGGAAACTTCCCTTGCAATTCCTTTTATTGTCGTTGTGAACAAATTGCAAGGAGAACACAGATTGCACTTGATTAAATTATCGGCGAACTATCGACTGATTTCAATAATTCGCACCTCCTTTTCAATTGTACGGCCGTCAATACATATCGACATTATCGATCGGCACTATTTTACTCATCACTTTCTTTTTCTTTTGTCATTCCTTTTTAATTTTTCTTTTACTTCCGTTCGTTACCTCTTTCCTCCTTGTTTCTCGATTTCTTTCTTTTACGAATCCTTCCAACGGGCTTGATGACCGACAGAGTTTTCGACCAACACATCGCGCGGATATATTTAAATTTGTGTTTAAATTTGTTCATTTACTTTCGGTGCAACGTCTACCACATCCGATGTGTGCTTTGTATTCGTGCAAATAGTGTGTATGATTGTATCCGCAGATATTCGTACGGCAGAATAGGTACAGATCGATCGTTGTAGAAACGTCCGTACGAAAACGAGAGTCTGCAACGCAGACTTTTCTTTTTTTTCTTTTTGTTTTTTTAATTTATTTTTCCTTCTTTTATTCGGGTTTTTTTCTTGGATATAATTTTATAAAATTCGATCGGGGAAGGTAAATGATACAATACTCGATTGCGAAAATGGAGAAATTCTATCTCGTATTGTGGACGGAAAGGGAACGAGTATCGATTTCAAACTCTTTATGAACGCCGCGATTTACATGGAAAATCGAACGTACCATATTGCAACATTGACTTTTATTTTTTCCAAAGTAAACAAGACGACGAACTCAACGAAAAAAAAAAAAAATGAAATCATCCGTTGATTGAACATTTATTGTTACATCGAGGGAAGAGGATAAAGTACACCTAATGGAATTGGCCGTTGTTCGTTTTACAGCGATGACAATCAATCGGTAATAACAATACTTCGGGCGATCTCGTTCTTCATTCAAGATATTTCTACGTTCGAACGATCCGAGATTCCTTTGATTTCTACTTTATCCTATTTCGTATATCTTATACCTCTTCTCGCTTCGTTTCTTTTTCTTTTTTTTTTTTTTTATTCGTTTTATCTAGAATTTTTAAACCGTTTTTAAACCATTTTCTTTAACTATTTCTCTTGTGATTCCTTACCCTGAATCAGGGGAGGGCGCGCGCGCGAATTACATGTCGTAGCATCGTAAAAAATAATACAACGCTAATCAGCGTTGAGTCCAGGAAAGATCTGATGGAATCGTAATCGGAGCACGTTAATCACGAGTCGAATCGTTTCCACTCCAATAGGGGATTAGAAACTGGTCGCGATGCTTCCTTTAATTTTCTTAAGTAATAGGAACAAAAATATTCTTTCCTTCCCTCCGTTTCACCGGCGAGGTAAGAAACTTAAGAACTCCTGAATTCATTAAGCGCTCGTCACAATTAGCCTAATAGCACCGTTTAATTTGACGAATTCCTTTCAACCTCTAAATCTCTTCTGGACTCGATGCGCTCTGTACAGACACGGTGAAAACGTACGGTTCCGTTCTTCTCACGTCATATCATCCGAAAATGTGTTTATTAAGTATTAATTACGCGCTCCTGAAAAGAGAGCAACTACCGTTAATTAGAAATGCCATCACGAAGTCGGTCGAAATGACAAATTCGATAAATCCGGAACCGTTCGTTTCCACCGTATTATTCTAATTTTCGCTCGAAAAGAGAACGTCGTGTCCCCTCTTCGGATGCTTGTACCTTGCATTCTTGCCGGGCATATATTGTTCTTGTTTTACCGAACACCTGCGATCGTATCCATCCGCAAACGTTTCCACACACGCGGCCAATGCCAATGAAGCTCGTTTACACGGAGAAAAGTGTTGTTATCGCTGCCACTCGCAACTTAATCGCGAGCACTCACTTGAAAATTAAATTACATCTGCTCGAGCGCCGTTTAATGGAGCTTGACGTTAATTACTCCTTTCTCCGTGTACTCTTCCGTAACGAGAGATCGCTAAACGGAAGCTCTTACACCGCTATCGATCGATAATTCTTACGCAAGAAACAGTACCGAATAAACAATGAACCGAGAAATATACATATATATATATATATATGTATGTGTATATAAAAAATGAAAGTAAAGATAGAAAAAGATGAGACTTGATGGTTTTTTTTTTTGTTCTTTTTTTTTTTTTTTTTTTTTTTTT